ATTTTTCAATATTTTTGTCGACTACCATGTCTCAGTTTAGCATTTAATTAGTTCAATGTCACTGCCCTCAGAATGGCCGTCTCGTCTTTTCCAACGCACATGTGAACTTAGCGCGCGCCACATTGTCAAGGAGGCACCCCAGGCCCCTGACCTTGACGGGCCGCAGCTTGACGTTGTGGCACCTTAGTGTGTTGGTCGCGTCGATCAAGGATTGAATTTGCTTACACCTGTTTGGCGCGAGGTGAAATGATATTTGATATTGATGTTTCGCCACGTTTCCTTTGGCAACTGGCGCCAGCCATGCATAATAATCATGCGCAAATCAGGCCGTACAAATTGGGCCATACTAAATTCAACTAGAATACCGACTGAGTGCTGCGTCGCGCGCCAAGTGACAAAGCTATATTTAACGGTTGCAACGAACGCCTGGCGGAAAAAGGGTTCATGTGGCAGGTGAGAACGCGGCACGCGCATACTATTCAAGCATGCTCTTGGCGGGTGGTATTTGCTCTCAGGCCAGTGTTGTGCTGCGAGTGTCTTGTTGGTCTTGTCACGACGCTGATGAGTTTGACTTGACAGGTGATCGAGGAGTCTTGCAACTTGCAGCCTCACACGTCACACACCACATGAAGCATGTAGGACATCACCTGTTTCATCTGAAACTTGCATGGCAATGTTAGTTGTATCACGCTTGCCGCGATATATACCTCATAACTTCCAACACAGGTTGTAAGGCTGTATAGACGATCCTTGTGGCAAATCGCCATATAGTCTAGTTTGCCTGGCCCTCTTGAGTTGGCAAAGTTTTTCTACATTGACTCAAGGCATGACAACAGTCCGCTTGCTTCAGAACTTCCCCCTCTCGAGTTGGCAAAGGTTCTTCTACATTGGCTCAAGGCATGAAAACAGTCCGCTTGCTTCACAACTTTCGCCCCGTGAGTTGGCAAAGGTTCTTCTACATTTAGCTCAAGGCATGAAAACAGTCCGCTCTCAACGCTTTCGTTTGTGGAGTTGACAATTTGTTTTGAAAACATAGCCACCAAAAATGAAAACGGTCTGTTTCCTTTAACCACTTTTAGTTTCAACCTATGAAGGCGCCAGTGCACAGGCCGCAAACCAAACACACATCCACACACCCTCCAAAAAATTGCACAAGAAACAGTGTACCACTCAGATGCTTTGTTTTCAGCTCTCAGGCGCAGTCGAAACCTCTTTGGGCCTATCGTGACAGCACAGTTGATGTGCCAAGCCAGTGGAGCAACGCCATGAGCATGTAGTGCTGCAAACTCCTCAATGAGATAGTCTTGGGGTGTCCATGTCGACACAAATTCCTTAGACGTTGTCTGATCGTGTCGATCGAGGAAACAAAGATAAATTGAAACTGCAACATGCCGTTTAGGTTGAGACAAAACACTTCAAACGGCCGAGCAAGTCCTCGTCCATCATCGTACTCACGTGTCGCAGGTTGTTACGGTTGAACCCCAAGAAGTCCACAAACAAATGCTCGCTCGAGTGAAGTTTGGGGTACACTGGCCATCTCATCAGCCGCTTCTGCAGAGATTCCGTTGCCAAATCTTGGCTGCAATTGTGTCTACAACGCACGTGGCTAAAAACTGGAAAACAACAAGTCTTTGTAAGTGTTGCTGGTTGATGCAGTCTAGATGCAGTTGTAGGCTGTTCTGAAGATATAGTAGGCTTCTAGGATCCGATTCACACAAGAGTCGTCTGTCACAAACTTCCTCAGGACTGCAGTACTGCGCATACACGCGTTTATGAGCTCACACGTTTCTAGATACGCCACGTGTCCCCTGACTGGCGAGCTCACTGTAGATGATGGCGAGGGACCCGAAAACGTTGGCCCTGTGCCTTGGTGGGAACGCTGGGCAATGGTGAAGGTTTCAATCCGTGGGTTCAAAACATCCACTGGCACACATGTTGAAAAGCATCTACTTTTGACCAGAGCACACAGCAGTAAGGTCATGGGGGTTGCCAGTGGCTAGTGTGTAGGTGAGCGGGGCCAACCAAAACACAAGCACCCGGTTCGCGGCCCCCTTCGACACCTTCTGGCTAATATGCGGATAGCCTGAGGGGCAGCCGGAAGCACATGGAAACACTCAACCCCAAATTGAAGTCGAGACTGGTCAAGTTGGGTTGTAGAATGGCAGTGCTGAAGAGCTTTGGTGAAGCTCGGGCTGCGAAGGGCACCCCTCAGAAGTACGATCTTATTCAACAGAACATTGTGAACCCAACTTCGCGTTAAATCAGGGTAGTGCAAACGAGAATCTATTCCTTTGACACCAGGAATGATAGGCCAATCGCAGACCATCCAGGGAGTTGTCACGACGGCCCCCGTCGCTCAGTTCGAGGAGGGTCGAACTCACACAGTCCGGTATGATCTGGAGGTCCATGATGTGCAACAAATCCGCATATATTCCTCAATGGTGTCAGGGAATTGATGGTTGCAAAAAGGTTCAACATCAACTTGACCCTACACAGATTAGAAGTTAACCTAAAAACCTGCATCCAAAGATCTCCATGGGCTGAAGCCTTTGATGGTGCACAGAGCAGTTTCTCCATGGATAGAGATAAAGTCATCTTTGTTTTGTAGCAGCCTCAAATATAGCTACATGACAATCACGGTGGTGGCTAGGTACAATGCATATAGTCTTTCAGCTTATATATCCCTTAAAAACATCTTCCCAAGAAACGTGTTTCGATGGGCTGCTTGATCACCCCAGTGGGTGTAGAGAAGTGACGGGGGCTCTCCCTCCAGCACATTCTGAACCGCGCCGCAGTAGGGGCACACAAAACGCCTCGTGGAATGCCACGATCCTGGGAAAGACCCCGGCAAACCATGTGAAGGGGTGCCTTGAAGAAATCCTTCGAGGACATGTTATATGAATCAACCAAAGGCTCGTTTGAATCGGAAGCACTTGTGAAGCCAATCAGCATCCCCCTGGAACCCATCCAAGACGCCCCGCCAGTTGTTTGCTATCCACTGACCTTTGCAAAGGGCCCATTGTGGGAAGTACTCCTCAGTGAACTCCTTCCCGTCCGGGCAGCGAGTAGGCCACCTTCCAGAACCTCAAGCCACATTAGAGCGCGAAATGAAGCAGTGAAGCCTCAACAGAATGATACTGCTAAGACATCGGCACATGGCATTGAACGACCAGGCAATCCATTTCATGATTTCATCACGGGCTGAATCATGTGTGTACAGGACATTCCTCATACAAAGCCTCGGACAATTGGTTTTGAACAGTCTCCAAAGTATAAAGAAATGGGACATCACAGGAAACGACAAGCAACACAATTCTACTATCCATCGATGTGGACCCTCCAGCACTGCAGGGAAGCACGAGGGAGAACACTTCAATGTTGCTCGAACCTAGCGTGGAAGACGTTCAGTCATACATATATACGGCACGGCTTCAAAATAGTATTATATATAGAACTCACTTTTTCGAATGCGCCTTTCACCTCCGCTCCATCTCCATAAAGTCGAAATGGAACTGCTCCATGAGGTAGATGTTGTGGGGCCTCAAACGCATTTGCAAAGTACCCTGGAAACCTTTTTTTTGTGCTGAAGAACGCCTTAAACAGTTTACCATGCTGATCGACAGCCTCAGGATCGTTCTTCCAGATCTCCTTCAGCTCTGCAGCTAGATCTCCGTTCATCTCCCAATATTCTTCCAGAGCCTTGGGTGGACAAGTTGATAGGAATCGGGGTGACCCTGTCACATGGCTTACAGGAATCCAGTGAAGTCAAATCATGAGGCATGAAACTGCAGGTGATCCGGTCATCAAGCTGTTGAATAGGAGTCCATCTCTGTAGGAGAAAAAGCTTGCCAAGATCTCGTGAGGAAGCAAAAGGCCCCCTGTGATCTCAGATACACTGGCATTCGGTCTTGCCTCAGAGTCTCCCGGCGTAGCAAACACATGGTTTTGTCACATGACACGGAACATGTTGAACCATGTTGGTGACAAGGAGCATTCTTGAAAGTGAGCCTCAGACCACGTTTCAACCAAGGGTTGTTTTGAACGAGTGCCCCGCCACAACTTGGAGCTGTTGAAAAAAAACATGGTTTAACTGAGAGTCTGATGAATCTGGGGCAGTGCCGCACGGAAGGGTTGCTTGTCCACCCAACCTTGAAAGGCCCTCTCATAGCCCCAGCCTCCAGAGAATTAAGGTAAAAGCATCCCCACCAAACACATGAAAGCTCTCACAGCCACAGCCTCCTGACATGGAAAATGAATCCATCAACTCCACGATCTTTGGCCTGGGCTCCACAAATTACAGAAAATGGTTCTAAGGTGTTCGCTTCTCTAAAAATTACAGTCAAGAGGCGGTATCAAATATAGTGGAAGATCACCCATACTATCCAGCAATTTGGCCATGTCGTTCATGGAAGCCTGTCCAGGTCCAAATGGGTAGGTTTTGGGTGGTTGTTGACTTCTCCCACCCTTCCCTCCATCAACATTTGTATGAAGTGGTTCACCAACTTCGAGCCACCCGATGTCCGAGGATTCTTGATGGCACCTGCGCTTAGCACATTGCAACTCGGTCAAACCTGCTGCAGTCAACAGGCTTGGCTTCTGCACCTATCCACTGGAGAATTCAAGCGGCGTTCTGTTTATTCACACGCAGGTGTGTGTCAGCTACCCCATCAGCACTGATTGAGCAACCAGTGCACAAAAAAACCCACCACTCAACACCGTTTCAGGCGTTGATCTATTCTGCACGGCATGGCGATCACAGGGAGTAGTGCCTGCCCGTGGCTAGCAGAAGTTGAAACGACATGGAAGAAACACAATGCCTCTAATTGTACTTGTTCTTCTTAGGCTTCTTTTCCTTTCCGCTGGCTTTGTCCTCCTGACGTTTCTTTTCACCTCTCAGAAGCATGGTTCTAGAAGCACATTGCTGAACACCCCAGAAAAAGTTGAGGGCGTCACGAGCTTTCCAAGTGCGGATTTGCGATCTGATCCCGTCGATGTAGTCTTCTTTGGACTGCCCAAATGGTATGTTGGGAGGACTATATCAACAGTCAACATTCAACCAAAAACCAAGTACAAAACTATAGGGCACCTGAACCTTGGCCTTCTTTTTGTCCCACTTGGTGAGAACCTCACGGCAACTCATCCCACCAGCCATGAGTCCATCGTACCTGGGGCATGGAGCAAGAGTGGAAACCAAAGAAAACATATCCAGTCTGTATTTGTTTGAGGGTCCAACGAATTGGCCAACTCAGAAAAGAATTGGTGGACCTGTACCATGTCGTTCTTGACATCCTCAGAGAACCAAATAAATAAATAAATATATGTGGGCAGGATATGGTTGAACTCATCTAAGGTTCCAGCTTCCCCAACATTGGAATAAGCTGCGAGCTCTTGACCGGCGCTGCGAGCCTTGCCTGCAGAACTTCTCAACCTCAGGTGGCTTAAAAACAAATTCTAAAGTTTGCGGGAGGCATGTATATATATATATTTGTAAGAACCTAGCGCGCGGATGATCTTGTCGACTTCCTTTTTGTCCTTTTGCTCTGGAGATTCCTCCTGTAAGCGGGCAATGAAAGTATAGTCCAGAGAACAGGTTTGGGGACAACCTAGTTTTTACATGGCTGGCCTTAGGTTTGGGTGGCTCCACACTTTTCTCATCTTCACTCTCACTGTCATCAGTGTGGCCCTTTCTCTTTTTCTTTTTCTTTTTTTCAGCTCCAGACAGTCCAGACATCGGAAGTGGTCGCATCTGGTCCATGATTGAGCTGAGGACCTTCGAGCGGTCACGATCCTTCTGCCCTGCGGACGTTGCTGGACTTGGAGCAGGTCCAACACCGCTAATCGAGTCGTCGGGGGTGACATCGTCAGCACAGGTTGGGGGAGGCTCCAGTTGGCCACCACTACTGATCCGGGTCCCACTCTTGTTCTCAGTGCCACCTCAGTGTGGCTTGAACAAGAATCTGTTGGTGCTATATGGTGTGCTAAACTTTGTTGCGTTCAAAGGGCTCTGAAACTTCCTGCCGTTGAAGACCCGGTAGATGCGGTAGTTCTCATCTTTGCGGAACTTAGTCGCACACTGTTTGCCAAAGTGAAGATGCCAAGTAGGGTGCAAAAAAACAGAACTGGGCTTTTAACTTCCTTCTTTGGGTGAGGCTTTCCTTTTTGAGACGCTTTGATATCTGCAATATACTTCCTGCGCACAACATTGTGTGTCAACCCCTAAAAAGGATTTTCACCACAGTCCTCCCAGCTTCGGTATCCCCATACCGCTTGAGTAGGTCGAGCATCATCACCTCTTCATATGTTTCTTTCTGGGTTGAAACCTCAGACCTCGATCAGTCGGAGGGGTGTTGCCCCAAGTGCCACCCAAGTCAGCGAGTGAGGTTTGGGCGATTCCATGAAGGCCACCATTTCCTTGTTTGTCCTGGTCACTCGATGGCGCCACTTGGAGCAAGCCTTTTTCAATCAAGCCGGCGTGACAGTTCATCACTTAGAAGGAACTTCTTGAGGAATTCAAACCTTAGCAGTTTGCACTTTGTATGCCGTGCACATGTGGAGGTGTGAAGTGGGGTTTGCTGGGACATAATGAGAGCTAGGACATGATGAATTGAGTAATCCAATCCAAGACACTTCTTGGCATTGTTCCCCGACGCCGCGTAGTATTCATCCACCAAAGATGAAGGCACACCTAGAAAACAAATTGCACAAGTGTGCAGCGCTCTGTGAGCTGTTCCACACTGCTCTGTAAAGTATATAGACTTAAGGTTCAAGCTTCCGCTTTCCATTTTCCTCTCCATGGCCGCGTACAAAACACGCCTCTCCTGGAACATGTATAGTGAAGTCTAGATATTCAACTTAAGATTGGAATGTCCTTGATGTCGAAATCGCTAGCGGAAGTTGACCTCGAAATGGCTCCCTTCTGTTCTTCAGTGAGGTTTTTCACCTTAATTGTGCACAGTATGGCAGAGCTATACACAAAGACCTTTGTGAAATCCAACCAAGGATGTGGCCCTGCGGAGACGGCCAGTATGGTCCCTCTCTGCCAAGCCGGTGATCTTGACCGTGCCTTTGTCTGGTTCTTTATGGTCCTCATTGTATTCGGGTTGCTGCTAGCAAGTTCTTGTTGACATGAACAGGTGAACGGTGGAAACGCAGCTGAGATTCATATCTGAGTGTGCTGGACGTATCAGACCTTCTCCTCAGGTTTACAAATAAGTTGATAAGGTGTAGGAAGGGACTGGGGCATGATAGTCACACAGACAAGCGACAGTGGGTCTTTGGTGGCCTTTGTCTTTGGAACGGTCTCCTCCTCTTCCTCCTCTCCTTCCTCCTCCTTCTTCTTCTTGTGGGTCTTCTCAGGTTCCACTACAGCTAGTGCAGCCTTGTTCATATCATTCTTTTCATGTTTTGCCTTTTTCTTAGCACGTTCCTCGACAGCTAGCTCTTCTGGAACAGCCTCTGGCGTTTCTGTTTTTTTCTTCTTCTTTTCGTTTTTCTCCTTTGGAACACTCTGTTTGGTTTCCGTCTGCTCCTTCTTTTTCTTGTGTTCCTGAGTCTCCTTCTTGTCTTTCTTCTCCTTCTTATCCTTCTGGTCTTTCTTCTCCTTCTTTTCCTTCCGCTCTTTCGTCTGGTCTTTCATCTGCTTCTTTTCCTCTTTGTCTTTCTTCTCCTTCTTTTCCTTCTTCTCTTTCTCGCCATCCTCCTTTCCTCCACCGGCACGACAGGAGGTATGCTTATGTACCCGTTTCAAAAACATAGAGTCAATCTTTGTCTGTCTTTTTTTCTTCTCAATTCCTCGACGTAGGACTCTGGAAGGACACAATTCCCGTTTCCAAAACATTGAGTCGATCTTTTTTTGGCCTGGGCCCAACTCCTCAAGAGTCGGCAATCTCTCAGCGTCGTCCTTCTTGTTGTTATTCACCTGTGCCCGGTTTGGATGAAGCGGCTGGCTCTTGAGCAACCTGATCTCGTCAGCTGAAAGCTTGTCATAGTCAATCGCATTGCCAATCGCCAACACCCCTGGCGTTGGTGTCTTCTGCTTCGGTTTCACCCCCACAGGTTCACTGGGGGACACCGGCACCATCTGAGTCTCCATAGCCTCAATCTCTAGATCTTCCTGCCGACCAGCTTCAAGTTCCTCATCATATATTTCTTCTTGGATCCTGCACCACTCCTCCCACTCTGCATCAGCTTGCGCTTCCTCATCCACTTCCTCATCCATGGGCTGTGTCTCGAGCTCTTCAAAGGCCAACGATCTCTTCACATTGGCCCGACTGGCTTGCCACTGGAGCACTTGCTCCTTAAGCTGACTCTCTGTCATGCCCTTGGTCCTCTGGTATAGCTCTGCAAGTTCAGCTTCAGACGGAAGAACCGGAGTTGCCGCCACATCAGATGGTGTTTTGGAACGACACCTCCGCAATGGAGGCTCAGGAGTCACCAAATCCACAGGTTGGCTCATGCCCAACCTGCCCAGATAGTGAAAGTTTCACCATCTATGGTGTCAAATTCTGCGACATGGCCTGTCACGTTTTGTCACGTTTTAAAGGCCGCATGGTTCACCTATGTGTGCGTTGTCACGGTTTGTCACGTTCTGTCACGTTCACCAGGTTGACCATCTTTCATTGAAAACTTTGAGTTTTGCTTGCTTTCATCCATTGGTCTTGCATGTTTTACAGATCTTTTCAGTGAAACTATATGTACACAGCAAGTGAAAACGCTTCACAACATGACAAGACTGAAACTAAACACAAACTACCCAGCAGAACTCACCAAACATGACAAAATGTCCAGGAAAGCTCAAACTTAAGGGTTCAACAAAACAAAACACTACTAAATAATACAAAATGACCCAGCAGAGCACGACTTCATGACAAAGTGTGACGTGACAAAACGTGACATTACAAACCATGACAGACCATGACAAAAAGTAAAGGACTAGACTCATGCATACAGGAAAACGTGACGTGACAAAACGTGACAAAACGTGACAAATGTTTAGCAAATGAGCACAAACACAACTCATAGGAATTAAGACGTGACATGACAAAACGTGACGTGACAAAACGTTACACCTGTCCAGACCGGTGAGTGAAAGCTATAGTTATACTTATAATACTGCAACTTGTATACACATGTGCATCTATATATAGATATAGGTGCGTTAACGTAAATTGGAATGGGTTTGAAAGTTGCTGATACATTCAATCTGAGGACTGGCGGGAGCATTAGCGTTGAGCTTCGATCCAGGCCAGCCTGAACGTTCTGCAGGTTGGGGCGCCCAGAAATGGGCTGACTGTACAGCCGAAAAGCTGAATATAGGACACGGTACCGACCGCTGGACCCGTATGAACAAAGTGCCCAAGACTATAGAGTGCTCCGCACGCACATGTATTTTTCCCCTTTCTGTTGATCGCAAGTACGCCACTAAGTGTAGAACCGACAGCTACACACATCATGGCTAATCCCCATCTATGAGTTCAGCTAGATTCGAATTGGAAGAGCACACAGATGAATCATCTTGAAACTCCAAGCCCTCATCCTGTAGCACAGCTCGATGGCCTAGCTTACTCCTGAGTAGAATAGAAAAGATGAAGCAAACTAATTACCAGACTGTTAGATCAAAGCTGCAAGATCCAATCAGGCATGGACTGGTGTGCCTTCAACCTGCGTCCCACCTGTGGCAAAGCGGATTCCCAAACCAATCAAGCATTGAACCCCATCTCTATAGCCTCCAAGCCAAGGCCCAATGGATACACTGCTGACGCAGTGAGATCTTTCCCTCCTGCCTCAGTGGGCCGAGCACTAGTACCGAGACCAACTGCCTACACATACAAATTAAGAGAGGTAAAGGGGACGCAAGAATACTGAAGACATGAAGACGTTAAGGATCCACAAAGTTCTTTGTGAAATCATTTCTGTGTCCACTGACCTCTTTTAAGTACACTTTCAGGCTCCCACCACTTTTGGCTTCAGTGTTTTGCGGCATGTGTAGCGCTTCACGACTTCGATGTTAAGTCGCGACTTCAACCGCGCTAGCCTTTGCCTGGTATACCCAGCAGGTCCCACATTCAATGGTATTGAACCTTTCTTTAAAGTGAGGTCGAGCGGGACCAAGAGCAAACTACAACTTTATACGTGATGAAACTGGGTTTGGTTTGGTTTGATTCTTGCAACCAGCCTCTGGCAGGGATCGACTTTCTTGCCCATTGATGCCAAAAAGGGACAAGTTGTCATCACAATGACCGGTTTCCTTGGTTGCACGGATGGCCCAAACACACCCTCGTACAAAGGTCGAATAAGGTCAATAACCTTGTCCGGCAGGTCCCTCACTGCATGTGTTGGAGCACGTGTTCTTTATCGCCTTCGACCTCTCTTGGATGGACACGCAGGCAAGATACTGGGTCTGGGCACCGAATGCCCCCAAATCGATCTTGATCGTGTGCACATTGTACTTGGCCAATAGTTTCTACAGGGCACACGCATGGAAAGGTAAGATTGAAAAGAAAGCTTCACTGGGATGGACAAAGCTGGAGAGGTCTGCCCATGGCCTCCAGAGGGCGGTAATACCAGAGCAACGATGTCTTGGGTTGTTCTAAGGCAAAGTGCCCGTTCTTCTTCGCCACGTACTCTGCCCTAAGCAACTCACAGCTACTCAAAAACTGTAAAGGTGCATGCACAGAGGACGGACACTCGTTCTTGTTTTCTTGAAGAATGGAATTAATGGGTCAATACCCAGAGGTGGGGGTTTAGACTTGCAATTTTCCACTTGGATTGGCCTGCAAAAAAAGACCCCCACAAGTCCGGTTCGACCTGCCTGAAATGCAGGGTTTTGAGGGGGCAAGCCGGACTTGTGGGGGTCTTTTTTCGCAGGCCAATCCCAGTGGAACAGTTTAGACAGTGGAAGGACTGACGTTTGGTGCCCTCTGGCCACCCACAATTGCTTTGACAAATCGATGACTAATGTCCGAACTATCCCTCATGAGTCGACACTGTGCTGGTACCGCGATCTCAATTTACGCCAGGACGCATCACGTTTTCTTGCCTTGAGGCCATGGGTGCGGACACCCACGGTCAGGTAGCCTTCACCAGCGCAATCCTCTTGAAAGTCTGTGGTCTCATCAGCCGGGACTGGCCCAAATGCTTTGACCAAAGCTTGGACGAGCAATGCTAGCAAGCTGTATTTCATGGCAGCAAACAA